AGAAAACGGAAAAAAAGTATCATTTGCTATTTTAGACCATATTTTATAGGACTAATGAACGCTGGAATTGAAATATAAGGAATTAAATTCCATTTTTGAAATTTAAAAATTGAATATTTATTTTATGTTTGGTAAGTCGTTTGTTTTATTTATTTTTATTATTTATTAACTTTGTTTTATTTATTTTTAATTCAGGAAATCTAAACAGCTAGACTAGGTTAAAAAAATTTAACCTTATGCTTCGACAACTTCAAAAAATGATACAAAAAAGAACTTAAGATAGATTGGTCCTTTAGTTGGCCGCACGCGGCGATCGTGTGTAGCGAAACTTTGCGACCTGTTATTGCGTCTTGTCACGTAACTTCATAAATTTTTAGCGAAAACCAAACAGCTTTTAGCTTCTTGTGTGGCCAACGACGGGCTTCGGAGAGAAATATTAAAATATTTACAGTACAATCTTTAATATATATTGTATCGATTTATATATTTTGTTGGGCTATATTTATTTTGGGGTGATCTTACTGTTTCACTGTTTCAAATGCGGTACCGTGTTGACTATAAGTTAAACAACGGCCTCATAACTCATAGTGTACAATGTCATAAAATTCTCATGTCAATAGCAATGAAATCGCTATAATTTGATTCCCTGCCTAACTAAATAGGTGTTGGAGACGCTTTCTAAAGATCTCGTTGACGGGAAGATCCTCAAAGAACTCGGTATGAAAGACCGACTTTCGTCATTTGCACGATTACAGATTTTAAAGTTGGTCACAGGTCCAGAAAAGAAGATTCGATTGGGACACCAGTGGCTTAAATCCAGATGGAAGGCAAGAGATCAAGCGGCTACTTACCAACCCGCTGTACTGATTAAATAACGAAAGCAACTGAGTTTTTTTTTGTCAGGAGTAAATCACCGGACTTCCGTCCTCCACTGGGGATGGAGGGCGGGGCATGTCGGAGTTGAACCGACTAAAGCCTCCTGTCGCTCAACAACCAGCATCCAAACTTCGCATGAGACAGAACTCATGAAAAGGCAAAGGGGGAAAGTGAAGCGTTTAGTGCGGAGCACATCTCTCCCATCACCCTCCCCCTCAGGACGCCGAACTGGCGGTCGTCGGCGCCACGACCACCAGCCCTCTCGGTCGGCAGACTATCCGAAGCCCGCCTAGATGACGCCGGTTAGAGTGAGCTATCCTACGGATATATCTCCCATCACCCTCCTCCAAGCAACTGAGTTTACCATGGTCCAGTGTACGCGAAATGCTTCAGACCGCCTGATCTGGAAGAGTATCACCAGGGGGGTAATCCTCAAAAACCTTGGGGGCCTAACTAATGTTCCTGTGGCTCATCAGCACAACTACGACCACTTCAACAAGAGCCGCTCGACTAAGAAAAGGAAGACCTAAATAAATGTTAAAGATATGACGAATGTTTACATGTCTAACAAACGTGTACCTGGTACTGTATACGGACAATATGTAGGGTCATAAAATTGTCGTCTATGACCACGGAAACTGTAAAGTATTTGAAACGTCGGGAATAACACAATGACAATAAAAAATACTTTTAAAGTCTTAAGAAAGTTTTAATTATGTTTACGACTCGCTAATATCGAAGAAAATAACGTATTCAATCCGATATTTTTATTGTATAGATAAGTTGGCAAGGTCTTCTTGATGTTAATAGATGACCCTCCCGGATCGACTCTCGGTATTTTTAGGCCCTTGAAGCACCGTCCTCGTAATCGACGAGCGAACTAACCCATAGAATGCCACAGCCCACCTGGTTGTTAAGAGGTTACTGGAGCCCATAGACATCTACAACGTAAATGCGCCACCCATCTGAGATCTAAGTTCTAAGGTCTCAAGTATAGTTACAACGGCCGCCCCACCCTTCAAACCGAAACGCATTACTGCTTCACGGCAGAAATAGGCGGGGTGGTGGTACCTACCTACCCGTGTGGACTCCGAACCCTGAGAAAATCCGACGAGAAACTCAGCGGGCTGATGTTTAGATTAGGTTACACGATAGGTTAAATAAAAACATAGATGAGCCTATATATATTATGTGATTTGCTGCCATCCAAATTAAGACATAAGTTATCCCCACGAACCGGAAAGCAAGATTGCTTCGCGACGGAAACATAATAACGCATCTACATAATATTTTATTTTATTCAACAGTTGAGGTTTTGATGACAAATTTTTATTATAAGAAAACCTTTTTGGTAAATTATATTCGTTCCGTCAGACTGTATTTATGGTGTTTTAATTAATTTCGAACCGTAAAACTGAATCGGCTAATGGAAAAATGACGTAAAGATTAATAATGAATATATTAATTGTTCCAAGAATATGTGTCAAGTTCACGCAAGTGAACTAAACGCTTACTGGAAAAGGAAAAACAAAATTAATTAATTAACAAAAACGAATTTATTCAATCTTCAATGAATTCGTTAATATAAAGATTCAATAAATCTTAATTTTTATTCAAAGATAATTCAAATTTGAATTGATTATCATTAACGAATTTATTGCAGATTTAATAAATTTGTGAATGATAATGTATTTATTTTGTTTTTTTTGAAGATTCAATAAATTTGACAAATTAAGCTAGTTAACAACAAAAACGATAGCTTTATTATTGTATTTTCTCCGGTTCGTTCTTAAATTGTTAACTATGTAAAAAATTTAGTAAATAATGAAATGATAATAACATGTACTTTTAACAATGATTTTTTTAATTTTGAATTTATTGAATTCTTGCCACAACATTGTTGGGAAAAGACTAGCTTCCTTAGCACAGTTGTTTATTAACGCGAGAGCCTGGGCTTAGTTTTAGTATATTGTTTAGGATATATCAATAAAAAAATATTATTGTTATATACGAATATGTTATAGGCGAAAGATGAATAACCGGTAAATACCAGACAGCTGTCTTTTTCAACTATTTGTCTGACATAATAAGCTTATGATCGATTACTTCGTTGGTAAACGTGAATTATTACATACTTTAAAAAACTGAAATAGCACGATTTAGCTTTACCATTTAAATAGAATACCGAAATAACAATTATTAATTTTATATTTTTTAATCTTGTTGATAGTAGTCAGGATATCAGGGTGAAGTTCAGAAATAATTTTAATATCCTTGTCCTTGATGCGTGCGAAAATTTTCAACTTAATCAGACGTTTTTAAAGTCGGTAAAAATGACGGTCAAATATTTTGGTTACATGCAAACAATCATAAATACCTATCAAGGTAACTAAAACATGTTAATATTATTTATTATACGGAAACATCTCTAAAATTCCTTAGAGCATTTGCCGACGAACCGACGTAATATTTATTTGTTTTATTCCTTTCATACCATTTACTGGTGGTAGGATCTCTTGTGAGTCCGCGCGGGTAGGTACCACCACCCTGCCTATTTCTGCCGTGAAGCAGTAATGCGTTTGGGTTTGAAGGGCGGGGCAGCCGTTGTAACTATACTGAGACCTTAGAACTTAAATCTCAAGGTGGGTGGCGCATTTGCGTTGTGGATGTCTATGGGCTCCAGTAACCATTTAACACCAGGTGGACTGTGAGCTCGTCCACTCATATAAGCAATAAAAATATATATAAAAAAATACAGATTTCATTACTGACCACACAGGAGGCTGTTTCGTACATTTAAAAGTTTAATGTAATCTCTACGATGATTGTTATATTACAGTTTTATCAACAATTAAAGGTGGAATGGGTGGTTAAAAAGCATTGTTAATAAAAAGCAGCATAAAAATATTTTTTTTATTCCGATGTAAATACTTGACATTTGTTTTTCATTACATCTTATCTTTATGCCGTAATACTGTAAATATTTAAATATAATTTAAGTTATTGATTCAAAAATTAAAATACATAATAAATAATAAGACTTATTTTCAAATTATTAGTTAAATGAATTGATTGTACATGAAACACTCGTCATGTATAAGTTATTATTTATTTATTCATTTAGACACAATTATCTAAAATTAATCCAATGGCTTACACGACCCTCTAATACTTTTTCTTGTGGTAGGGAGTCCTTTGAGCCCTCTGAGCCAACCCTGCCTATTTCTACTGTGAAGCAGTAATGTGTTTCAGTTTCAAGGGAGGTGCACCATTGTACTATAAAAGCAGAGATCTAGAACTCATGTTTCACCGACAGACACAGCCCACTGAGTTTTTCATCGGATCTTCTCAGTGGGTCGCGTTTGCGATCCGGTGGTAGATTCTGCAATGCATTGCTGTTGCTAGGGCTAGTGTTACTAATTTCAATAGGTTAGAGCATTGTGAACTCACCTACACACCACGTGAATCTAGTATGACCCTTCGAGGTCACTAGAATAGGTAGGAAAAAATATATTTCAAGAGGGAATTCCCGATGGTTTATGAGCTCGTCCACTCATGTAAACCATAAACAAATATTTGTTACGCCACTATAGTGATACAACTACATACCTATCCAGATCTCCAGAATTTATTATATTATTTATAGTTAAAATAATTGAAACTGCATAATTTATCTACGTAATCTGACATTTTGAGGAAGTTAACGTTTGTGGCTTGGCTGAATATTTTACTTATGTTTCTAAACTTTTCAGTATATTATCTGTAGGTTGGTAATTAATTAGTAGTACTAAAAATTAGATAAAGACTGATTATAGAACAAAATATTTAAGATATGATTAAATTGAGGTCCGTTTATTTTATGAATTTTATGAACATGACGGCGATCGTTATCACGAAAAAGCTGCGTCAAATCTGCTGATTTAAGCTGAACATGTTCGAAAAAGGTAAATAATAAAAAATAAAAAATAACTCTTATGTGTTTACATTATAGACCAGTTTGGTAGGTAACAACACATTTGCATAACTCCTTAGTCGAAATAGAATCATTTAAGAAATATTATCTAAATTGAATTAAGAAAAGAAAACATTACGACTTATTCAAATATGGAAAAAAAAAAACTTACAAAATTCCCGCCATACTGCCGTTCCGAATTCAAAATCTACACGCCACGCTAAATACAATTATTCAAAACCACAGCACCAAAAACGTTCAATCAGTACACTCATATTTATCACATTATCGCTCAGCAAATATTTTTTTATTGTATCGAAGTTTCGCTTCTGGGCACGCGAGGCGCCGGCGCATGTGTTACTAACGAGAGCGTGATTTCAACTGGCCGAACTGCGAATTCTGGCTTGATGCTAACTAGAGATCTAATTAATTACGCGCGACACGTTATTGCTCACACGTTTTTTAAAGATTTTTTTTCTGTGGCGCTTGTTATTCTTTCGCGCGCTTTTATTTATAGCTGTGCTATCATGTCATCGGTCGTTTAGTTCTTTTTTTTGTGATTTTTTAAATTGTTTTCTCTTTCTTTCGGGTAGGAAATAATTGGAAATAGGAAATAATTGTTTTATAAGGTTTTTTGTCGGGAACTGTTTTTTTGTTTTTTTTTCCCTACCTATAGCCTTGAGAGGCTATTTCAGCGTAACCTCAACTAGTAGGTGAGCTCACGGGGCTCAAACCTGACGACGTTGCTAACACGAACCCTAGCAAGAGCCGTGCTTCGCAGAATCTTCCGCCGGATCGGAAACGCGACCCACTGAGAAGATCCGGCGAGAAATTCAGTGAGCTGTGTCTGTGGGTTAATTTACTCATCGAGCCCTTCGTCGCAAGCGACGGGTTCGACGAGAACGATGACCAGTGCTTGAGGTACCTAAAAGCACCGTTAGTGGATCGGGAGGATCCGAAATGACGTGTTTTGGGCGACGTCGACTGCTTTCCATTCTGTCCGTAAGATCGAGAATGATCGGGAGCGCGATGAGTGGACAATTTGAATTGTTTGGTTTTGGTAATTTAGTATTTCTTCAGCTTTAAAGGTGTAATAATTGTGACTTATTATCCGCTTAGTATCTGTATAAGGGCACGTCCGTGTGTCAAGAATAATCACGTGGTTCTTCAGATTGTACCAAAAAATTCCACGGAATTCTCAATAGGTAAATGTCCACCATTTTACTGGTACTAGAACATTATTTCATTCCAATTAATTACAATTTCTAATAAATTAAGTTCATCGTAATTTCGCTCTATTTTTTTTTTTCAATTACAACAATGAACGACTTATAAATTCGACACTGGTAACAATGGCATTGTAAGAAGCCAATAATCATATTGAAAGAAAAAAATTCAAAAAAGTACTTAAATTATTAGGTTGTTATCACAGATGAGCAGAGAAGCTGCTGCCTAAAAAGAAAGGAAATCGTACCGTAATTTAAAAAAATCTTAAAGAAAGCACCGAGTATGTAAATGAGTTTGCATAACATCGGTCGGATCATTAGTGGACTTCGCGGCATGAACGAGATTTATTGTTCACAATTAACTGAGCGGAGACTCTATTAGTGGGCTGGATAATTTTCTTTTCATTACCAAGCTTTTAGTTCGCGAATTAGAATTCGTAAAGTTAGGCTTGAAATACTACTAATTTGTCGGGGCGAGTTCAAGATTGATAGACGAAATATGTAAGACAAGGGTTTCGTCAAGAAAACCCAAATATTACGTCCAATTAAAAAAAGTTTTTTTTAATGCTTAGATGGGTGGACGAGCTCACAGCCCACCTGGTGTTAAGTGGTTATTGGAGCTCATAGACATCTACAGCGTAAATGCGCCACATACCTTGAGATATAATTTCTAAGGTCTCAAGTATAGTTACAATAACGGCTGCTCTACCCTTCAAACCGATATTACTGCTTCACGGCAGAAATAGGCAGGGCGGTGGTACCTATCCGCGCGGACTCACAAGTGGCCCTACCACCAGCAAAAAGGTTATAAGGTTAAAGGTTATAAGCTAACTTATATTCTTATTGCGTGATTTCGCCTAACTTATAATAAAAATGGATTCGGTCGAACGTTCGTTGGATCGTATCAGAAGTCGTGATTAATTTCCTGTTACATAATTAGTTTTGTGTGTTTTGCGACCTAGTGATTATTAAGTGACTGTTGTAGGTCATCTGTCTCGTATTTTATACGATATCATTGGCATATATGGCATATATATGCGTTTCGGTTTGAAGGGTGGGGCAGCCGTTGTAACTATACTTGACACCTTAGAACTTATATCTCAAGGTGGGTTGCGCATTTACGTCGTAGATGTCTATAGGCTCCAGTAACCACTTAACACCAGGTGGGCTGTGAGCTCGTCCACCCATCTAAGTAATAAAAAAAAACTAGAAAATTTTGTGATCCCACAGCTGGTGCTATAGTCTCATTACATCCACGGAATTACGGCCTGTGTAGTATAAGATCCGGTATAAGCTTCATGTCAGTTGGGCCGTGTGCTAGTCCACCAATCAAGAGCATTTTCAAGCGTATAGAATTTAAAAGCATTATACAAACTAATTAATTAAAATTTGGTATCCGAAATAAAAAGTCTGTCTCACAGACAATAATGGTAAGTTCATTTTGGGTCACTTCTATAGAGGTTGTTACAGGGCCATACCCGATCCGCTGGACCGAATGGTAAAGTCGACGTCGCCCTAAACACGTCATTTCGGATCCTCCCGATCCACTAACGGTGCTTTTAGGTACCTCAAGCACCGGTCACGGCACTCGCGGAACTCGTCGCTTGCGACGAAGAGCTCGACGAGGAAATTAGCCTATAGACACAGCCCACTGAGTCGCCGGATCTTCTCAGAGGGTCGCGTTTCTGATCCGGTGGTAGATTCTGCTAAGCGCTGCTTTTGCTAGGGCCAGTGTTAGCAACACTCCCGGCTTGAACCTCGTGAGCTCACCTTTTAGTTCGGTGAATCTAGAATAACACTTCAAAGTTACTAGAATAGGTAGGAAAAAAAAATTACCGCTATTGTGACGTCAATAATAAAATATTAATATTAATACCAATGATAACATCGCTTATTGCATAAGACGATTCATGTGTTTACATGTAGACAGGCCGGACAACTGGCGTACCGTAATGCAATAATTGCATGGGTATCGTTAACACAATGCTTAAGTGTTGCTACAGTTAAAATTTTTCAATCAACTTAAATCAAGTAACCCGTATCTCGATTGAATATAAGCGCCAAATAATCGCCATATGATAGAATTGTTAATAGATTTATGCTGCATCCTATGAAGCGCTTTTACCTATATGATAACTTGTTGAAAAATCTTACTTGTCCACATACTTAGATAGGGTGAAGTGTTAAAACCAGAGACCAACACTTTACTCTGCACTACCTTTGGTTGACTGGTAGAGAATGCCTTAGGCATGAAATCCGCCAATGTAAATTTTACATGAAGTGTAATAAATAAATAAATAAATAAAACATGTAAACTCCAAAGAGTACAATCTGCAACTTACCATAAAAATAAATCTGCTTTATTAGTACTTTTGCATAGAGATACAACCGGACAAATAATGCAATTTAATTACTATACATATTTATTTATCAAAAACAATAATATACACAGAAACAATTGAGGAAAAATAAGAGAAACAAAAAAAAAACAATTTAAAACCAAGTTCTGTTTCCTGCATCGATTGAAATCGTAAAACTATTTAAAATTAATTAACATTTTAAATTTGTTAACATTAAATAAATAGATGGACTCATTTAACATCTTAATTATACGAGAAAAACATAGTTTTGAATTTTTTATCGTCATCATGTCATAAAATCGGGTGTTCCTCATTCGCAGTTATTTTTCTTTTTTTTATTGCTTAGATGTGTGGACGAGCTCACAGCCCAACCGGTGTTAAGTGGTTACTGGAGTCCATAGACATCTACAACGTAAATGCGCCATACACCTTGAGATATAAGTTCTAAGATCTCAGTATAGTTACAACGGCTGCCCCATCCTTTAAACCGAAACGCATTACTGCTTCACGGCAGAAATAGGCAGGGCGGTGGCACCTACCCGTGCGGTCTCACAAGAGGTTCTATCACCAGTAATTACGCAAATTAAAAATTTTCGGGTTTGTTGTTTTTATTACACGATGTTATTCCCTCACTATGGAAGTCAATCGTGAACATTTGTTAAGCACGTATTTCATTAGAAAAATTGGTACCCGCCTGCGGGATTCGAACACCGTTGCATCGCTACATACCAATGCACCGGACATCTTATCCTTTAGGCCACGACGACTTCGTGGTAACGACGTAATATCGATATTACTCAAAATAGAGTGTGGACTACCTTGTACCGGTGCGGTGACTGAAGCTTTGGCTTGTTCCTTAGAGTAGTAAAAACGTTGTTCAATTAAGCACCCACGCGGCATTTTACCGAATACGGAACAATCGCTTTGTTCGACAATTTATTGCCAGCCCGGATAACTGGTAGTTAATGATCCTTGCATCCGTTGAACATTGTTTTATAGATTGCGAGAACTATGACCATAGATTTTAAATAAATATTTAATATATTATTTTGTCGGAAATATACTTTTTATACTAGATTATGGTACATAGTATCCTGTATATCGATTGACCACAACAATCTGATTTCTACATATTATTCATTATATTAATTTAGAAGAGTGCCAGTTTAGGTTTAAAATTTTTATTCATTATCATCATCATCATCAACACCCCCAGTCGTTCACTGCTGGACATAGGTCTCTCCTAATCCACACCACTGAGCCCGTTATTCGGCACTTCTCATCCACTTCTTGCCGGCCACCGTTCGGAGGTCATCGCACCACCTAGCCAGGGGGCGTCCCACGTTACGTCTTCTGCTGCGCGGTCTCCACTCGGGAACCCGTCTGCTCAAGCGATCGTCAGTTCTACGGCATATATGGCCAGCCCACTGCCACTTTAGCTTGCTGACTCTTTGAGCTATGTCGATGACTTTAATTATCTGTCGAATAACCTCATCCCGGATTTTATCCTTCAGAGAAACTTCGAGTATGGCTCTTTCAATGGCTCGCTGAGTGACCTTGAGCTGACGGACCAACCGTACTGTGAGTGTCCAAATTTAATTGGAATCATAAAATAGAAACAAACTTAAAATTTGAGGGAAACATTAATTGTATGTATGTATTGCATTCGAGTTACTCTATGTACTCTGCGGTCACAATGATATATTTCTCCGTACTGATTCTAAAATCGATTTTTATCTGAGAGGTGCTTATTAGTATGTATTAGTCGAAA